GTTGCCCAGCTTTTTAATTATGGTAATTTTAATTTTGATAATAATTACGATATTTTAATTATGATAAAGTATATATAACATAAAATTAGCCACTTTAACTATTTTTACATGTACAATTCAATAGCATTAAGTACTTCTATGCTGCCATAACCACTATCCATCTCTAGAACTTTTTTCATCTGGCAAAACTGAAAGTCTATACCCACTAAACACCAGCTCCCATCCTTCCCTGTGCAGCCCCTTGCAACACGGTTCTACTTTCCATCCCTATCAAGTTGGCTGCTCTAGATTGAATGGAATCAGAGTAGTTGTCCTTTTGCTACTGGCTTATTTCCCTTAGCATAATGTCTTCAAGGTCCACTCGTGTTGTAGCATGTGCCAGAATTCCCTTCCCTTTTAAGGCAGAGTAATATTTAATTGTATGTGTATTTTGTTTATCCATTCACCTGTAGGCATTTGTGCTGCTTCTATCTTTTGGCCAGTGTGAATAAAGCGGAACATTACAATCTGCCATTCTTGTATCATCTATGCCTTCATCCACTGCCCACTGCTTATTTCATTATTAGTACCACTTGTAAGGACTGTGTTTTATTCATCTTTGTATTCCCCTAATACAGAGCCTGGCACACAGTAGGTGTTTTTAAAGTGTTTGGATGCATGAATCTTTGAAAATTATCGTTTTTAAAACTTAAAGCAAGGTCCATAAAGAGTGGACGCTTTCTTTTTTTCTTAGTATCGCAGGGTAAATATGCGCCTAAAGTCTTGATAAAAATGAAAATCTAATTGTGAAGGAAAACAAAAATGTAATACTTTAAGTGTGGATCAGCAGAGCAAGGAAAGTTGAAGAATCTGATGGGAGATTTTACTTTAATGCCAGTACCTATAGTGCAGATGAGAGCTGTTTATTTCTGGAAGTACCAAAACCTTTGAAATCAGCAACTTCACCTGTTAACAAAGATTGACTCAGTAATGGAATTTGTAATTGATTCCATATGTCAAGAAGATAATCCAAGAGTAAAACTTGTCTGTTTGTAACTGAGTCCTTGATAGAGTTAAGCAGCTGTACTTAACTGTCTTTCGGGTCATAGATGGAAAACTCTACTAATGTGATCGAAGCTTGAATACTCACGGCCTGACTTGCCTGACTGAATTAACGTCGCTAACAGCCAGGAGTCCCAGCGCCTCGAGGGTCGTCTGAGAAGACAAAAGGTTTAATCAGCCTAATGGGGGAACTGAAGCAGCACCTCTCACAGAGGAGGGAACTAACCAGACGCCTTGCCTCACTCGCCTACACTGCAGAGAGTGGAGTGGGGGCAGCCAGCTCAACTGCACGAAGGGGGTGGACAAGCTGGTGTAAATGGTTGGGCACCTCAAGTTGGGCCTGTGGCAGAAAGAGCCTTCACAGTAGCTTGCTCACTCCTGGGAGCTGTTTGTCTCTGAGGAGCTGGTACTCCAAGTGTCCACCAGGAGACCTAGAGGACTTCCATCTTTAAAAAGAATTCTCATGCTCTCCAGCAGATGACCAAGGGCAGTTAGGACTGAGGCCTCAGAGAAATTGAATCTGTAGTGGGCCACATGCATGGTGGCTGGGCTTTGGAGGCCACCAGGTATAACCCTGACTCTCTGACCTTGAGCAAGTTACCCGACCTTGGGTATTCTGTAAAGATTAGGTGAACTGTGACTATTATCATCCCCTTAGAAGGTGAGTAGCTTCAGGGGAATGAGCGTTCTGCGTCCATTGCCATTCAAAACTTTATAGTGACTCTGGGTGACAATGTCACTGGTTTCCAGTAGAATTAGGAAAGAACAGTACCCCAATAGGTGGGATTTGCTCACCTGATTCCCATTCATCCTCCCAGGCTCCACTGAAACATGTCCACTTCTCGTCATGCACCTGACCTGCTGCCCTGGGAGGATTAGCCTCCTCTTCTGACTGCTGTGGACTGTTTGCCGCCCACCCCGCTCCAGTAACACGACACTGTGTGGTAGTGTTTGTTTGTGTCTAAATGACACCGCTGAAGTTGCTCTTTAAGCTCTTTGCAGAAAAAGTCCCCATTGTCACATTTCCCCTGAATCTTTCCCACCCATGCACTTTTGTCCATTTTTATGGCAGATGTCTGTTCTAGGGGGATGTCACCTGCAGTAAGTACACAACAGGCCCAAAATGTTCATGTCTCCCAAAGATGAGATTCTTTCTGCTCTCCTACAGCTAAATCCTGCCTTAGGCTACCCTTATGTACAAATCTGGCGGCAGACTCTCTTAAATGCATTGGTCCCTCAGCAGACTTCTTCCTGTCAATGCTGGGCCAAAGGTGCTAGAGTGAATACCAACAACAGTGATCATTTCCTCTGAGCAGCTCTAAACCCCTTGGACAAGTGTCACTCACCTGGCTTCGTGCTCTGAGACCTCTTTACCCTCAGGCCAACCAGTGTCTCAGCCACACCGAGACCAAGGGCTTCTGTGACAGTAACCAGAGTCAAGCTCATTCTGTGATTCTTTAACCAACATCCCTGAGCTGCTAATGGTACTGGGCTCCATGCTTTCCCTGGGGAATGTGGAGATGAGTCCTGCAGGGCCTCTGCCCTCTCAAGCTCCCAGTCACAGGGGATATGAGAGTGAAGATTACCCAGCACCAGGGGTGCATGAAGCACTGTGGGAGCACCTAGCAGGGGTGAGTGGCTGCTGCACAAAAGGAGGATGGATGAAATAGAACTGAAAAATGCAAGGAAAAATGTGGGAAAGGACATGGCATGTGATTTGGAGATTTGGAGCCTAAGATATGCAGGGAACAGAGGAAAGCAACACAAAAGGACTCTGGAAGAGAAAGTAGGGGCAGCTTAGGAAGGGTTTGTTTGCTGGGCTAAGGAGCTGGGACTTCTTTACTTTCCCACACAGGCCCCATGTGTATGACTCACTGCTGGGTGTACAGTGCTCAACAAAACAGGTGCCATTCCTACCCACATGAACCTTATAGTGCTAGTGGAAGAAAACAGACATTAATCAGATAATCACACAAATGTAACATCTCTGCAGTCAAAGTTCTCCAGTAGGATAATGTGACCCAATCTGCATTTTAGAAGTGACTCTACCCAGGAGAACTTGGGTAGATGGGAGAGATGAAACAGGAGTGGGACAGAGAGTTAAATGTCCCTGGAGCAGGCAGACAGGCAGGCCTGCACCAAGACAGCAGACAGAGAGCAGGGATCGACATACAAGACATGTCACTGGTAAAATGAGAAGGACTGGGGCAGTCTGAGGGGCCTGTGGGTGGCAGTAGATAACAACAACTTTAAGAAAGAAAAAAGCAGATTCTGGGTCCAGTCCAGGTGGAGTAACAGTTGGGAGTTCTGGCCATTTTGAGTTTGTTGTGCCGCTGGGCCATTCGGGGGGTTATTGAGAGAAGAGCTTAGGGGTAAAAAAAAAAGTCTGAGCTGAGAGTACTTATCAGAAGTCATCAGTGTGTGTACTTATGGGTGAAATCACCTGGACAGAGTTAAATGCCCTGCTATGGTTCCAAGGGTGAGAAGAAATTCCCAGGCCACAGGAATGGACTTCTAGATGGGCTTCTGTTGGTTATCACTAGCTGATCTCTCAGCTGTTCAGCAAGAAGGGTGTAAGTCCTTGTTATAAAGTCAAAGTAATAAATGTCCTGAAGAGTTCCGCCTTCTTCCTGGGAACTGGTATGCTTTTTTTCCCTCATAGGCAATGTGGTTTGCACCGTTTCCCTCCTTGCTTCAGCAGCCAGGGAGCTCAGAGGTAATTTCATAACTTAGATTTAGAAACCATTTAGACCTACATATCAAGATACTCTTATCCAAAATACATTCTAGATATTTACATGTTTTCCAGCTCTGATTTTTTTCTTTGTTTTAGGTGGTCATGTAGGCTGCCTAGGTCCTTTGTAGAATTAGGTAGGGTGTAATTGTATAAAAACATATTCCCCCACCCTTATTTTTTGCGGTCATCCTTGCAGCCTTTGTGCAGTAAGTCTGCCCAGTTGCTGAGCTAATATTGGCTAGATTTAAGCAGGAGGAACTCTTGGAATTTACAGCAGCTAGACAGAAAATTTAACACTCACGTAACTCATTAAAACAGGATAAAAGTGGAGCTTCAAACATCTCTGTGTTTGCTACCAAGTCTGTGAAGGGAGGGAGGGGTACTTTAATTCAGTTCAAGATATTAAAGTCTGATCTTTCAAAAATGAGAATACGCCATTGAAATTAACCACTTGTCTGGGTAGATGAGCACTCCAGGTACCTTCAAAGAAGGATTGAGGTGTTGAGCACAAGGATGGAATGTTTTTTAAGCTTAGGATGTCATTTTCTTGACTCATAAAATACAGTTAGTAAATGCAAACTTCCTTGTCACAGCATTCCTGTAAATATTATTTTTGATCATACCTGCTTTTTAATACAAGTAATTATTTTTAAATTATAATTTGCCATCAGTTAAGATCAATATGTAAATTGCTTTCAGACCCTGTTCCATGGCTGGTGCCTTCCCTAAGGAAAGGTGCCAGGGTCAGGACTAGGGGAAGAGAAGACTGCCCCGCAGGGGGGCCCAGCCATCACCCCTGCCCCCAGCTCCTCCCAGAGCAGCTGGGCTGTCTTATGCAGCAAGGTGCTATCCAAAGAAAGGGTCACACTCCCAACAGTGAAAAGAAAGCTTGGCAATCATCCCATTGGAGGGCACACTCACTGACTTGCCGCTGGGATAGCATGGTGGCTAATAGGGAAGGGGCCAGTGTGGGGGCTGGAATCCTGCCTTTGGTTCCTATTCTGCCTCCTGTCAGCTCTGTGGCTTTGAGGCATGACTGTTCCCCCCTCTGAAACAGCTGCCTCATCCACAGACCAGAATGCTGTCAGTGGCAACAGCCACTTCACCAGGTAAATGAGGATTAGATAGGTTAGCAGAGGTAGAGGCACCGCCTAGTAGAGTCTGAGAACTGATCACTTTCATTCGTTTCCTTCATCCCTCCTCTCCTGTCTCTGTTCCCCAGGAAGAGCCCATCACCTTCTGTGAGGATGCCTTCGTGTCGCACTACCGCTCTGGAGCCATGAGGCAGTTCCTGCAGAATGCCACACAGCTGCAGCTCTTCAAACAGGTGCCCAGCCTCTCAGGGGTGGTCAGTGTCTGGATCCCTGGTAGGAGTTTCTGTAGCTGTCCCCACTCTTAGCACTGAGGCTGCAGGCAGGTGGGACTCAGGCTCAGCCAACAGAGGCTCAGAGTCTGTGGAGGGGCATCAGGTAAAGAGGGTGGTCAGCAACCAAACAGACCCTTTGCAAATATGCCATGTGATTTTATAAGTTATCATGAACATGCAGCCAGCATTTTAGAAACTTGCTTTTTTAAAATTCAGCAGTTCCAAAAGCCCCTTCTTGTCTTGGGAAATGTGGTTCTTGGTCATATACTAAGGTGTCCGGCTGAATGGTTTTCCCCCATTTCTTTGTACAAGCTGTCATGCTTTTGTTCTTTCTTTATATAGTTCATTGATGGTAGGTTAGACCTTCTCAATTCTGGCGAAGGTTTCAGTGATGTTTTTGAAGAGGAAATCAACATGGGCGAGTATGCTGGTGAGAAGCATTTCATTTTCCTTTCTGCGCTGTGGGCTGTTATGTGGGATTAGGTCTGTTTGGCAAGGAGTGGCAGTGAATTCCTTTTTCCTTCATTGCGGGTTAGGGGAGAGACTGGTTTCACCCTAAGCCTTGAAATACTTGAAGAATTCCTCTTCATTTGCTGATGAGGTGCACATTGGCTCATATGAAATCCTCTGTCCTGGGGTCACTTGCTTCCTGTGTGTGGGCAGAGTCTTGTTAAACATATGCCAGTTTGATGCAGAGGAAAGCACACAGGGTATTGAATTAAGAGACCTGGGTTCAAATCAGATGCTGCCTCCTCACTAGTGGTGAGAACTTGGTCATATCCTTTCACCTCTTTCAGCTGAAGCCTTCCTGTCCGCTCTGAGGGTAATGGTGCCTACCTCACAGCGTTCCTGTCAAGATTCAGTCAGAGTCCCTGGGGAAACTTTTGTGCTGTCACCCAGGACAGGCCCTAGCACAGGGTCACTGCTCAGGAAATGTTTCTTTAGAATGTGAAGATTATTGCCGAGTTCCCAGTCTCTGCGGACCTTTAGAACTGGAGGGATTGCCTCTCATTTTTCAGAGGAGGTGTCTGAAGCCCAGAGAAGTGTTAGTGACTGGCCCAGACCCTGAATCCCAATCTGTCCCTCCTTCCAAGTCCTAAAGCCTCAGTCTTAGACAACGAAATCAAAACTAAATGCAAAATAATAATAATCATGCTACTGGCTGCCTTATTGCTGAACATGTGCTGGTAATCCAACTGGCAGTCCTTCAACTCATGGAGTCAGGCGTAATCTCACCTATGAAACCCTCTTGTACAGGCCTGCCCAGCCCGTGTTGCATGGGGACCACAATCAGTAAAACTAGTGTGTATGTCTGTGAACAGTAATAGCCGATGATTAATAAGCACTTCCTGAACACCTGCTGCATCCAGAGCCCCTTGTAGTAAGAAGTAAAGGACCCGGTTCTGTCCTCAAGGAGCTTTTAGACTGGTAGAAGAAAGAGATGCATAGCTGAAGATAAATACCAATTAAACCAGTGTAGGAAACAGAGTAGAAACAGGTTTTCGTGCAGCTAGAATAGGGCTCTACTAGTCCTCACTTGGTGACATGAGAGTTTCCAAAGGAGGCAGGTTTGGGTAGTGTTCTAGCAGTCCAGTGTGCATTCTGATGAGAAGACGGGCTTCATGCGTCGCCAAACTAAGGCAGGTCATTCGGAGCTCCTAGAAACCCTGTCTCCTGGGAAAACTTCCTCATCCCGCTGGAGAAAATGACCAAGCTCCCCAACAGTGCCTCCTTTTCCTTCCCCTGTCACTGCTCAAGTGCTCCGTTGGCTGAGTGCGTACCCAGCAGCGTGCTTACACGGGGACACCCAGCCCTGTGCTTCCTGCCCAGGGAGGCTCACCGAACTCCAGGGAATATGGGCTTCGGAATGGCTATTACCTGTTTTAGAGGGCTGTTCAGAGAAAGGAGTAGGAGAAGCTTACAGAAGAAACGACATCTGAGCTGGTTGCTGAATGTACTCAGAGGGAGAGCAGGGAATGGTGGCCACACAAGGGGAACAGGTCTGAGAGGGAATGGAGGACTGCAAGCGTGTGCGCTCAGGGAGCCCAAGGTAGTTCCTGTGGTCAGAGCCTAAGGCAGTGCAGGATGGTAGTGCAGGCTGGAGAGGCAGAGGGTGGGCGGTGCACAACGAGGCCAGAGAAGAGAGGCAGGATTGTTAAGAGGGTTCTGACCTCTGTGCAGCAGGCAATGAGGCAGATTTTGGGTTGTACTCAGGGCGCTGATAGGTTCAGATCTCTGAGAAGGAAACCTGGGTGGGGGGCAACTCACTGCTGCATCCTTCAGGGAGTTGAACATGGGAGCCTCCATGTGGTTCTCCACAGATTTTGAACTTTCCAAGTCCTGCATGCTAAAAGCAGTTTGAGGAAATACTGGGGGCACGTAACTTCTTTAAATAACAGCTTGTCTGACTCCTCTTTCCCCAGGCAGCGATAAACTATACCACCAGTGGCTCTCCACAGTCCGGGTAAGTGTCCACCCCCACAGCACCACCTGGGCCCCTCCTTAGCCTCCTGGTGGCCCCCCTCTTCCCCCACCTCCTGCAAGGCCGTCATTCTGCCTGGGGCACTCCATTCTCACAGCTGAAGACGCCTTTGTGAAGCCAGGCTGTTCCAGGGCCAGGTGGAGACAAGCAGGATGAGGCTGCCCAAAGCCGACCTGTGGGGAGGGTGAGGAGAGCCAAGAGAAGCTTCCTCGCCTCAGGAAGCCAGCCAAGGCGTGTGAATGGATGTTGTCATCTTAGAGCATTTACGGGCGTCTCCTTCTAGGGCCAGTGCAAGAATTAAAATGTCCCTCTCGCTACTCTGCAATATTTTTCACAGCAATGGCTCCTGGGAAGATGGAGAACACATCACTGCATTTTTTATCCCCTCGCTGCTGCTGTTCTTGTTTGGAAGCCAGGGACTTAGAGCTTCAGAAGCCACTAAAGAATTCAAATTGTTGCCTTTTCTTTACATGGGTTTATCCCTGACTCTGTACTGAAGGCCTACTGTGTGCCAGGCATCCGGCTGGGTACTGGGGTTACAGTGGGGAGCAGGACACAGGCCCTGTGCTGGGGGAGAGCTCCCTGACTTGTTGGGGAAACACACACACATGAACAGGCAACTCCAGCATAATGTGATAAGTGTTCTGTCCTGCTTGTGGGCCAAGTACGCTGCTGCCAAGGCGGGTCCCTTGGAAGTAGCTGCGGTTGGCCAAGAGTATGCAGTTCCTCGGTGAAAGACTTCTTGTGTTCTTCCTGTATGGCCAGACATGGCACTTGGCAAATCATACACAAGCAGTAAGGACTTGTTGATTGATTGATAAAGGAAGTTTTAATACTCCAAAGGACCACTGAAATAGGATACTGAGTAATTTTGGAAAGCAGTATGGAATAAATGAGTGGGGGAAAATTTCGTATTGTCGTACAATGTAGAATGCTTTATAGGTCAAATTGTCATGTTTTTAATTAAAGTTAAAAATTTCTGATATGGGCAGTTACCAAAAATTGTGCTAAAAATTAATCCCAAGAATGATATTAATTTATCATATTCATTTATACACACACTGGATCCAGTCCCTCTTTCTCTCCCTCTGCTTGTTGGAATTACCTTTCCAAACCATCACAGATCTGATTATGCAATACATTTGATTTAAAATCCTCTGGAGTATAGACCCTTATCCTGGCCCTTCATGACCCTATCTGGCCTCTCAGCCACACTGGCCATGCCTCCCATGATACGCTGACCACTTGTTACTCCCAGAATACAACTTGGCTTCTGCACTTTTTTATGTGCTGTTTCTTATCCCTAGAATGTTCTTATTCTCTCCAGACCATGCCAAATGTTTCATCCTCCAAAGCCTTTCCTAACCTTGTAAACAGTGAGCAGCCTCCACTTGCCCACGTACACAGCCCCTCACCATGTTAGGGAGCAGTATTTGCCCTAGTGTGCCCCAGGACTGGAGGTTACTGAAGGCCAAGACCAGCCCTCCTGTGGCTCAGTACTCTCTGAGCCCCACAAAGTGGCCAAACCTGGGCACTTCAGAGCCATTCATTGCCTCCTTTGTGTACTTGGGAAGCCTTCCCTCCTCTTCCTCCTGCCCACTCTCCCAGAGAAACTGAGCCAAGAAATCTACGTTGGGTTTGTGCTAAAGCCATGGTTAACATTGGTGGCTGCTTATTCTTTCCTTTTCTTGAGATATCAGTGTTAAGGAAGGCAGCCCACCAGAGTGACTTAAAAACTACACAGAAAACAACACGGGGTGAGAAAGGGAAGGCACATGGCCGACGATAGCAGATTTCCAGAAGAGCCAGATAATCCTGGCTAATCAGCCCCCGACCCCCGTTTTCTGCCTCGGCCTGGTGTTGGTTATAGAGTACATTGTTGTTAAACTTACCTTAATGCTGTCCATGGTAGCTAGAGTTTCTTGAGAAGCTGTAGATCACAGTGGGACAGCCCTTGCCTGGGATGAGCTTTCCTCCTGCCAGCAGACAGATACCAGGCAAAATACTGAGCCTAAAGTGCCCCTCAGCTGTTGTCACCATCCTTGTCCCCAACCCACCACCCTAACACACACCCATAGTGATTCTGCCATGGCCATACCTAATTGCCCAGGACCAGTTACCATCCAGGTCATGTCTCTAATTAAATTACACACTCTTGAAAGGTTTGTTGCTTAACTTGATTAAAGAAGAGAGGTCTTTGTTGGTGTCAGCCTACTCTATCTTTTGTCTAAATTGCGACATTTTTTTATTATAGAAAGGAAGTGGAGCGATTCTGAATACTGTAAAAACTAAAGCAAATCCGGCCATGAAGACTGTCTATAAGTTTGTAAGTATTGGTCTTGGTCTCAGGATCCAAACAGATCTGTTCCTTGGCATGACAGAACTCCTAAATGTACCTAGTCTTATATTGCAGAGAGATTCAGGGACTGCTGTACTATCTCCAAAAGCTCTCAATGCTTCCAGAATTATGTAGTGTTGCTATTTTATGACCAGGTCAGTGACATTTTCAATTCAAAATGTTTCTGCTCACAGTTGCTACAATAGAGAGATGGGGGCTAGTAGTTTGAACATAGACTGGGTGGCCGAAACTCAGGCTGCTGCATGCCTGCATCCCTGAGACCCAGAGATGTAGTGATGTAGTCTGTTGGGTGTGTTCAAGCAAAGCTTTCCTGCATGTTTCCCTGTTCATACATCAGAATAAAGCAGCTGCTTTGCAGATTGCTGCAAAATGTTCATAGTGGGACACACCCCGTAAATTTTGTACAGATTCTCCGCTCTCACCACTGTCCATCAGAAAATGCAGTGTTTGGAAACGTGTGCCCCCAGCAGAGTGAAAGTGGGAGAACTCATCAGCTCCCGATGCTCCATCTCGTACAAGCCTCAAGTATTTTTTTCTCATGATTTCCCTTGCTTGCTAATTTGACTCTGAGCCACTGGACTGGGGTGGTTGTATTTCCATTTTTAATTTTGTTAGTCCTTTCTGTGCTTATATTATAATTATTTGAATGGGGTGGGTTGCTGCCAACCGAACCACACAGGTCTAAAATGACGGAAAACAAAAGCCAGGGTGCTGCGGAAAGGAGATTTAAGGAAAGGCATTAGAGAAACCCACTGATGTGTCTGTTCAGGCCATCCAGCCTGAGCAGAAAATTGGTTCTGAGGCCCTGCCCTGATGAAATGTAACAAATACTCTGAAGCTTACAGCCAGAAAAGCTGCTGCTCTGCTCTTCTTGGTAGCTGTCACCAGGCTGCTGAGATAAATAATTATAGAGAGCCAGAAGAAGGGCTTTGGAAGGGTGGAAAAAATCAGTGCCGTCGAAATGTAGAAAATAAAATCTCTGTAGCCTCTTTAAGGGATTATTTTAACCTTTTAACATTGTATTTGTTTTCATAGCCATTATGTTTTCAACTTGATGATCCTATTTTTCCTTCCTTTTTCTAGTAATCAGAGAAGGTGATTCGTGATAGACTGAAATCAAGCATAGTCCCTGCTGGAAAGAGAAAGGGAATCTTAACTTAAATTAATTTTTCATGCAGGCAAAAGATCATGCAAAAATGGGAATAAAAGAGGTGAAAAACCGCTTGAAGCAAAAGGTACTTGAAGTTCTTATTCAAAATGTATAAGCACCGTGTATGAAATGCATGACCACAGAAAAGTATGATGTGATCAATAGAGGGCTGTTTGATACAGTGTTGTTAGCACACTTCAAAATGCATTACCAGCTGTCCGGGAGTTTTCACACTGTTATAAATATTCACTGACAAAAACTGTCTTCAAGTAACATTAAAACTCTGGCTTAAACCCACAAAGGCAAGCAAGTTCAGAGTTGCCACTGTGGGTCTGTCCCTTGTCCACCCCACCATCACAAGGATCTGTAGAAATTGGCTCCACCTCCCCATGCTGGCACCACTCCCTCCTGCCGCTGACCTTGGCCCTGGAGCTGGTTGTAACCAAAACCAGGGAGCATCTCCAGGGAAATGACTGCAGTGGTTCCAGCGTGCACATGGCCACCAGGCAGAACAAGGCACAAAGGGTGGGTTTGAGGAGGTCACTGCAGGTTCTCCTCCCAGTGGTGTATTACCAAGAGCCGAGCAATTCGTGTTTGAAACTCTTGGGGAACAGGGAGAGGCTCTGATTCTCTTCTGGGACCATCATTAACACTGCATGAAATCATACAGTCTGCATACATCCTGGCTCGGAGTCCCCCTACACCATTCTCTAGACTTGTACAGGGAGCTTAATGTAACAGAGATGGCATTTTATGTTATTATGTTGTCACTCTTATTATTGTCACCCTTCACTAAGCACAGGTTAAGGATGGTCTGGGCTAGGAGCTTTCATAGTTAATCCTCAGAACAATGGTTGAGGTTGGGAGACGGTCCCATTTCCTGTGCAAGAAGGCTGTGGTTCAAAGATGAAGTAATTTGCCCATGGTCACACTGTCTAGCCTGGTGGAGTCAGGATTAGATTCCAGATCCATCTACTTCCAGCGTCTCTGCTCTTCCCAATACAGTATTTCCTACTGCCTTCCTGAAACAAGTGTTTTGTTTTCCAAAAGATGTTTGGGCTCACTTACTTCATTATCCCCCACACCCACAATATACCACTCTAATGACAGCCTTATCTTGACAGTTTTTAAAAACTCAAAGTAGTTTTAATTTTATGAAATCAGAAAGGACCTCTAATTAATTTGAAATAGTCAAAGGAATTGATTCCTTTCTTTTAATTGCAAAATAATATTCTATGACTAAGCACTTGAATTCTTAGTGTCAGCTGAGAATGAATTTTTAACAGTGAAGATTCAAGTCCTGAAATAAAAATTCTGTAATGTCAATCCAGGTAGACCTTAACCATGGTCTGTTGCATCCTACCAGAGATGGGCAGGTGGAATTCTTTACTCAGATGTTGCTCAAGTCCCTATCATACCTTTTTATCTCCTCTCCTGGTTACATGTCACTGAATTGGATTGCAAGTATCAAATGGAGTGGCAGGATGAGGGGAATTCTCTCACCAGATTTTCCCTCCTTGATGACTAGATCCTAGGCTCCGCTAGTATTAGAATATTCCTTAAAGTAAGCAAAGAAAGTGGTTTGTCCTCAGGCAGAGGACAGGTATGCCTCACTGGTCAGATCTGTTCTCTGCAGGCCACGGCTTCCCTGTACTCGTAAGCATTGGACCTTAAGAAAATCCCCTTTTTATGACACGTAACATTTCTGCAAATAACCAGTTAAGCTCAGGGTGTTTGATGTTGTCATTCAAAAGTTCACTTAAACAATCAAGATCACTGTCCTTCCCACCATCTCCCTTTCCTTTCCTTGATAGTATCTAAGGCAGATTTTCCCTCCCCTTTTCCACTTTCCCCTACCAGTCTTTTCAAGAACGGCTTCAGGAGATAATGTTCTATAGAGAGTGTCAGTACATTTCAGGTGACACAAATGGTGAAGGCATTTTATAGAAATGTGGCTTGTCACCATTGGACTGTTGACAGATCTATTAGTGCACCCTTTTCAATTTTCACTTTTTCCCCCCTTCGGTCTTACAGATTTCTATAGACTTGATATTTTGCAGTTGTTCTTGGAAGATCTATTTTGTAATTGAAACTCCAGCATTGTTCAGTACAGACAGGACTTGGTCTTTGCCATGTTCTCTGGCTCCCTTTCTTGAGCTAATTTAGGATTTGGCTTCATCTGACCTCTCTCACTGCAGTATTTCTCTGGCTTTTTTGTTCCCTTTCCCCCTTTCCCCCCTCCCCTTTATATGGCAACATGTCTATGCAGCTTCCCACATGTGTCTAATACAGGCATCTCAAGTTCGGTTTCTGCTATGAAATTGAGGCAGTTCCCAACAAAGATCCAATTTTCAAATGTCCTGGGTTGCCACCTGGCTTCCTCTAACTCTGCATAGCAATGGTGACCTTGCAGATATAATCAGGAACCCAATCTTGCCCTCTACACTCTCGCCTTGGGTTTGAATTGCAAATAGAAAATGCAGGGCTGACCTGTGGAGAGGTCACCGTGGTGTGTGGAGGGTCCATCTCTAATATGACTGAGCAGGGCCCCTTCTCCATTCCCTTGTTCATTTGTGCTGCAGATTTTCAAAGCATCTGAAAGAGGAGCTTTCAGGGTATCTGCGTGACCATTGGCAAATAATTGTTAATAGACACTATAGTGTGGCTTTATTCCATACCCGCTCTGCTTCAGCCCAACAACAAAAAAAAGAATAGATAATATATTTCTCTGAGTAAATGGAGCAAGGTGGTCAAGTTCTTCTTTAGCTTGGTCTCCTTTGAAGTCTGACTTGCTCACAATTAGGAAAAAGAAAAGTGGCAAAGATGCTGTGTAGCTACTGCTTGCTAAAGGGAGAGTGTAGTGCTTTCCTCTGGAGTATCTCCCTGCCAGGCCTGGCCTGCTGAAGAGTGCCGCCTGGCTGGGCTGCAGTTGTCAACAAAGTCCATTCCCCTTCAGCACAGTGCAGGGCTGGCCTCAAGACAGCCCTGTTTTAAAAGCGATGGCTCCACACATTTCTTCTCACCTACAGGGAGCAGCAAGATACTCGCGTAAGGATGTCATTTTTTTTTGCATATTGGGGAACCGCTGAAAAATTATCTTTTTTTGTCAGCATCAAAATAATTAAATCAGATGAGCCCATTTCACAGTCTTTTTTAAAGCTTCTAAATCTTTGATCTGTAAAAGATACATTGAGCTTGTTGATCCAGGGTCTCTGTGATTGAGAGGAGCATATTCAGTTGGGTTAGCGAAAGCTTGAATTTCTGGCCAAACATTTCCTAGTATATTGAAGGGAGTGAGTAAGCCTGTGTGGGGCAGGGAAATCTAGGTAGACTCTTGTAGCACAGACATTTTCACACCTTATCACACAACTGTCAGCTCCCTGTCTCCAGACACATTAAAATACGCTGCAACCTCAATCACAGAAATTCCAACTTTGGATACTATTTTGGTATCAATATTCATATTTTAATTTGCATTTGCTGTGGTGTGAAGTCGACTGGAAAAGAAGAGCACTGTGCGAACCTGAACATGGAGACAGCGGTTGGTGTCAGATAAGACCTCCGCCTCCCACTCACAGGGCGTTTAAACCCCAGCTCCAGGGCATGGTGTCTGGGCTTCTGAGGCAGATGAGCTTGGTTCAGCCCCAGTTGTGCAGGATATTAACTGTGTGACCTTGAGTAAGTTACTGTTCACTCTGAACCTAGTTTTTCTCATCTATACGTGAAGTAGTGATTCTTACTGGATATTGTAAGGATTGGAAGAGGTAATGCGTTTAAACAGGAGCACTTGGCAGACACTCAGTAAATGGGAGCATCTGTCCATTTTCTCATATCTCGCATCTGGAGCCTCTTATCTGCCCAAACACCAGTGTGCACATACCCCGAGAACGTGGCTGGCATATATCATCTCCCTTTGGTCCTCCGTACAGCCAGTCTACAGCCAAGACACAGAACAGTTTTCCTAGAACACACCTCTGACTGAGCCGCTCCCCTAAACCTTTCAGACCTTCCAAACCTGCCTCGTTGGTCAGGGAGCAGGAATGACCCAGCTGCTGGACCACGTGCCTCTCCTTAACCAAGCCGTGCTCTCTACCTACCCTCGGCCGGGACTGCTCTACTTCCGTCTCTGTCTCATGAAGTCCTATTCTCAGAGCCTTTTGCCCGCCCAGGCCATTCAGAGCACCCTTCCTCCTCTGGATTCCTGCCCCCTGACTTCTCAGGGGTACTCTGTCCAGGACTTACTGTCGGCTGTTCCTGCCTTCTCCACAGACGGGTGGACATTAGATCTCAGTCATGATTTTTCATTCCAACAAACACTTTAGAAGGTGATAGGAATTATTTTCTGACTCCTTTGCTTTACCGAGAGATGGAAACTGGTAGGCCTGCAGTGCCCTAAGCAGGGCCACAGCGCTCCTAGGAAGGGATTTGCCACCATGTGGGGGCCTCTGATCCAAATCTCTGTCTACTGTCTTCCTTCTTTGTGACCCATTGAGAAAGAACAGATTTACCCCTCCTGTCAGCTTCTTGGTTTTGCTTTTTCAAAATGACATTTTGACAGTCGGTTTTTTTGTTTACAAACTAAAAACATGTTTACTGGGGAAATTCAACAAATCAGACAAGCAAAAGAAAATTATCTCATTTTATAACCTGCATTTTCACTTACTATATTCTGAGCATTTCCCAGGCCAGTAACTGTTTCTTCCACATGTCTTTGTTTTAAATGGCTACATAAAATTTTGTCTGAAGGTCATATATACACTAATCAGGACACTTGTTAGTTCCAGTTTTTTCTAGGCAAATATCCTCATAGGTAAAACCTTGCAGGCATTCTTAATTATTTGATTAGGATAAATTTCTAAAAATGAAATTAATGGGTCAAAGGGCATTGCACCTCTTTTAGAGGTTTGATGTAAATTGCCAATTTGTATTCCCACCAGAAGGGTATGAGAGTGCCTATTTTTCCACACCCTTTGCTGACAGCTCCTCCGCTAGTCCTTATACCACAATTTCTTTAATCACAGGGACCAAGAGTTGCTGTTGTAGGAGCCCCACTCTACGGAAGATCTCCTCTGCGAGTAGTTACAGTAGAGGAGGCGAACTGGCTGGCGCACTGCTTTCTGGACTAGGGCTCCTCCCACTCTGCTCTCTCTAGGATCCAGGGAGGAAGCTGTTGTCCTTCCCTAAGGGAGGAAATAGTGAGGAAGTTAATAAGTGGGCAGGGCAAGCCTCGGGCCTGGAAGAAGTCTTTTGCTCATTTGGATCTTCTAACTAAAGAAAACTCACGTGCGGCACTTTGTGTGCACAAGCACATTCTATACTAGACGCATTTGCCTTACAAATGTTCAGCTCAACTTCACAAAGATCTGCTGGAGAGCTTGTAGAATATTCAAAGCTCTGGGGAGGAGAGCCCAAAGGCCAAGGAATCCAGTCTATAGGGTTAAGAAAGTAATACAACACAGATACCATACCATAGGTGCGGCCGCACTGGCAGGTGTACCAAAAGGGGTGTCTTAGGAGGGCACCATATCTGATGATTAGTTGTGCATCTTCTCAACTAACTTGAACATCTCCACGTGTGCTGTTAGGAGTTGATATGGTATAAATCCCGGAAACCAGATAGCTCTGGGTTCCTCCACTTCCTAGCTGCTTGGCCTTGGGTAAGTTGCCCTCTCAGAGCCCTGTTTCCTTGCCTATAAAAAAGCCATAATCCTAGTCACCTTGTATGGTGTAGAAACTAAGTGTGATAGTGGAGGTCAAGGATCAGGAGAGTGCCTGCCAGGAGTAGGAGCTCAACCCAGGGAAGCTCTTCTTTTTGGATGGTGCACTTTCCATTTTGCTTGGGACAAGGTTCTGACGTTCAGTATACACAGGACTTTTTAAAATTTTAACATTTTTCAAAGCTTCCTCACGTCTCGTCTCCTCTTACCGATTCTCCCAGTAGCCTTGAAGTTCGCCAAGCAGGCAATGGTCTCCCCAATGTAAAAATAAACAAGTGTTGAGAGGTTGAGTGAATTGGAAAGATCAGCTTGTTAATGATAAAAACAAAACTAAAAGAATATACTTACAAGCTTAAACTTTTCCCAAAACTATCACATACATTTTTTAGCTATCATAGTTTTCATTAGTATTGATATTTTCTTACCAGTTACCTTACTGCTCCATTTCTTTTTTTTTCCCCAGACAATCCCTCACACACATTCAATACTTTTCCTGAGCTAAAAGTTAATTATTTTACTGTTTGGCTTTACTCAGTGTCTCATGTCTGTCTTTTCAGTAACCCCACCTGGATCCAAAGTGCCCCTTTTTGCAACTTTGTTACTTTCTGGCACAGAAGGAGCCCCTCCCCCTCTCTGTTCCACTTGACCTGAGCACCTTAGAGCAGCCCCCCTTTCAGAAGAGCCGTTTCTAATTGGCTACCGGCAGCCTCGCATCACGCCTCAGGTCCTAAGATTTGTGGACCACTTGATGCAAGTCCTCCCTGCGAGACCAAGGGGTCATCCTCTCCCTGTGTTGTTACTAAGCAGTACAGAGATTGCATTGCGTATGTGGGGTTGAATTTTTATAGATAGATACACACATAGAGAGAGAGAGCCCTCCAGGTGATTGAGTACCTTATTCATAAGAACTCACTTATCATGGACTAATGTCTGGACACTTTTATGTTGCTTTGTCTCCTTTATTCTTCATGGTCACCTACCATAATCCCCATTTTACAGGCGAGGAAACTGAGCCTCACAGATATGACATGTTTCTTCCTCAGTGCAGTATTATTTAGTGAGGGACCACTTTCCTCCATGTGCCACCATTCTTGCATATAGAGTTTGATGAATTCTAAGGGTGCGTGTTTTGTTCACCCAAATGTGTATTTATTTTAGTAGTGAAAAGAGTTGGAAATTGTATTTACTATTTCATTCTGGCTGTGAGTTACTTTGAATTACTCTGTTGTCTTTGTAGTGGGTATTGAAAAATATTTAAATGTATTTTATTTATACATTGATTCTCTGCCTTGCTCCAGTGAAGATTTAAGCAACTTTCATGACTTGAATAAAACACACAGTCTTTATTGCACAAGTGGGCACCATCCACAACCCAGAGAACCCACGGGTATAGTCAGCTGCTAGCTCTAGCCAAAGGAGCCATTACCTGCCTTTTGCACACTGGGGTTTTTCTTTTCTTTATAATTTGACCTCATCAGAAGCACAAGCTAAACATAAATTTCTGAATTTAAAGGTATTATTTTGGTTCCCTAAATTTTCTCCAAGTCTTAGAATCCTAACTCAGACTTCAGTCTCTTCATTCTCTGCTAGAAAGACTGGGGCTAAGAGAGAGGAAGTCCAGACACCTCGTTTCCACAAACAGTAACATCGTCAGCAAACAAATGTGGAGAAATTGTCCACACTCACAAATAATCAAAGTAATGCAAATTAAAACAACAATGAGGTCTAATTTTTCACCTCTTAAATTAGCGATATAGCGATACATTTTTAAAACGGTAAGGCTAACAAGTACCGTGAAACTGATAATGCATCCATTGCTGGTAGTTGGTGTAAATTGGAAAGCAATTTGGTAGAATGAATAAAAAGCCTTAAAAATGTTTTTATCTTTTGACCTAGTAATCTCATTCCTAAAGACTTCCATAAAAGAAATAATCCAAAAGAAAGAAAAACTGCAAAGTTTATCATGGCAGTGTTTAGAAAGTTAAAATAAGAAATAGGAATGACCTAAATGCCCAATAGTTGTAGAACAGTTCATTAAATTATTGTATATCTGCTCAGTGAAATATTATGCATCCATTAAAATTATCACTATAATGAGTATGTAGCACCCTGGAGAGGATCTTAATATAGTAGGAAAAATAGAATGTAAAATTATGCAGTAGCTTTGATTGCAAATAATTTTTAAATGCATGTGGACAGCGTGAATATGTAAAAATGGAAATAACCATGTAAAGTAGTAGGGTGAAAGATTTTCCCCACTCTGTTGTGAATTATTCTGTTGTCTTTGTAATGGGTATTATTTTGGCTTTTCTAGTCCTTAAAAGTCAAAAGCCAAATTAGCCTCTGTTTCCTCCATCTCCAGCAGGAGAACAGGCTTTGAGCTTCCCAGAGGGGTTCCATGGCAGGCCTCTTAGCTGTGGGGCTGGAGGGAGCACCTGTGCACACGCAGGTGCTGTGACCTGACACCAACCCTCCTCTGGCTTCTCCCTGCAGGACATCACTGAGAACGGCTGTGCCCCCACCACAGAAGAGCAGCTGCCCAAGACCGTGCCGGCCCCACTGGCGGAGGCCAAGGACCCCAAGCTTCGAGAAGACCGGAGGCCAATCACAGTCCACTTTGGACAGGTATGTACCCTGGCCCTTTGACTGGTCTGGTTTTGTTTTGTTTAGCAGAAGCTATGGTACATGCAGCAGACAGTGTTCATTTCATCTCTCTTTGGCAAAACAACTCCATGGAGTTTTGTACATCTTTGAATGTTTATTTGGTGCAAACATGTTTTGAAGGTGAATTTTCAAAATTTTTGAGGAGCCAGAGTGGCTCTGGTCATAAACTAGCTCCGCTCTTGAATGAAGTCATTAAATGCAGCTGCTGCCTCCCCCACTCCAACGCACTCTGTTTAAGGCGCCTCTGTTAACCAAGCATCTCATTAGAACACTTTAGCATCCCAGGCCCTTCTTTGCACCTTCAAATAAAAGGCAACAAGCAAAGTATTTTAAAAAATCAATTAAGAGTTCTTTATTAATGTACTTCCTGAAAATCAATATCAGGAGTCGTGCTTCTCAGAGTAAACACCCTCGTGACGATTCTAGGGATCTGATTTGTTAACCATTTTCAATGACCTGAGCATTTGAAAAATTATCTATTTGTTTGATTTTTTTTTCCCTTAAGTAAAACATTATACTCTGTAAAGCAACTGTATTTTTTTATCCATTTCCTGTCAGTGGTTATATCTTTAGTTGAAATTGATACCCTCCCGTACTTTTCTTGAATAGTCTGACTCTCTTGATTAGCAAAAGCAATGATTTTTTGGTTTGTGAGAAGTGCCTCTGTCAGCAAGATATAACTGTGACAAGAATTTGCAAGATTATTTATTCTTAACTCACCTGAGTTTTTAGCCATTTATTAGATGAAGCGTGATTTAAATAGTCTTTATGATTTTATTTTAAATATGGTTGTCGTTTCATCACATTTTTAGCATACATTTTTTAATGTTCCTGTTTTTTAACAGACATTTATCAAGTGCCTACTATACACCAGGCATTGAGCTATTTGGATGAAGAGAGCTAATGAAATTGTTGTGTGGGTTATTATAAGGGGTGAGTTTGTTGAAACATAATCTTCCTCTGTACTCAGTATTTTCAGTTAATACATTCATACCTCTTAAACTTGAGGTGTACCCCTCTTTTCTGATTTTACCTTTAAAAAGGATGTTATAAAAATTGAAATGTGGTTCAAGAAAGAAGCATCCATGGGCCAGTGCTGCTCATTTGGTTAATGATTATCTTCGAATTACATTGGGGTTTGCACCCCTGAAGAGCTGCCTTCTCCCTGGGTTCAGGCTCTGTTGGAGAAACCTGCGCCCCAGTTCCCTCGCTGTGTTTGCTGAAAGCACAGCCAGCATGGCATTCCAGAGCCAGCTTCCTGCTTCCCTTTGTCCTCATCCCTGCACATTGCTACCTTCCCATGAAAAGAGCCCCTCTCTGGAGTTTGGAGCCCATTACAGAGAAAGAGCTGAGGCGGGGGAGGGGGATTTCTTGGTGTTAAACATTCTATTTTCGAAACACAAAAAAGGAGGTCCTATTTGAAATGGAGAAAAACCTTCTTTCCATTTCAGCAAGTAGAGATACTTGAATGTCATTCTCAGCTAAATGCAGAATAAGAGTGTGTGCATGCGGGTGGGGGATAAACAATTTAAGAAGGCGCCCCAAACTCTGTTGAAATAAGAGCGGTCTGTCCCTTCACAGGTCTGTAAACTGGGGAGGATGAAAGTGGCTTTTTTCCCCGTTTGTCACTTCCCTCACGTGGCTGCCAGCATTATGCAAGTGTACAGGAAGGCAGGATTTTTTTTTAATGCATGCATGCGGATTAAGGTCATGCCCTGAGTATCAGCCATGCAGCGGGCTTTCCCTTACAGCTGCAGCCGCAGAGCCTACCCGCAGCCGCGAGATGCCTTAATTGAGACGTGCTGTCAAAGTGACAAACACATTTGCATACAGTCTACACTCTATTTATTTTCTCTGGAAAGGTCTACAGTCTGCTGTTGGTTGAACATTCTTAATCAGTTCGCTGTAAGTGAACTGCCAGCTAGCTCACTTGTGCTGCTGCTTCTTCATTAGGTGACAGATTAGCTGCAGGGGGATGGGCCATGGAAACCACAGACCCCTTTCTTTTAACTCTTTCCCACTTTGCCCCAGTCCTGGGTTGTCCTTCAGTCCTTCCCCGGCGCCTGGTTTGATGGGCCTTTGACTTTAATGGGTGGGCATTGCTCGAGCACCTACTACCGGCAAGCATGAGTTTTAGGGCCTTTATATTCGCAGAGGACAGTGTTGTGAGCTTCATTTCAGAAATTTTTGCCACACTCTCCTACCATATGTACTATTCTCTTTATTTAACATTTTCTTTAAATAAACTCAGACCTGACATCTGTACCAACTTTAGCCTCATCTTGAATGATGACATTGATAAAATCATAAGTTTGACAATTTTTTCCTAGGGCATATCAAAAAAAATTGTTTCTAAGTGTCCATCCATGTATTTACTCATGTAACCTGACCAGTATACAGTCTCCTTTTGGAAAATGTGTCATCTCTGCCATAGCCCTTTGAGGAAGGGATTATTAGCCACGTTGTATGAACCCAGAGCTGGAGCTCAGATATCTGAAGGGACCCTCCCAGGGCCACATCACCAGCACAGAGACCCAGGGCAGTCTGACCCCAGAGCCCCTCCAGCTCCCTCACCAAGCAGGGTTTTCAGCTGTATGACATGTCTATTAAAACTGACATGTCCTGGCAAAATAATTCGACAATCAAATGAGAGAAAAATCGCAGCTTTTTTACGGATAAGGCTCAAAGGAGACTGCTACTTTAGACCTGAAGCCAAATGGGCCTGCTAAAACCTCACCTCAGAATTTAAAAGACTAAGCTACCCCATCCAGACGTGGGCTGGGCGGTTGCAGGTACCCAGCAGGGCCTGTGGCTTGGCTGCTCTGCAGGAGGGAGCCAGAAGGTGCTCGGAGCACAGAGAGTGTTCAGTCCCTTCCCTCAAACTCCTGGGTAAGGACTCCTCCTGCTGTAGGCCAGAGGGGCTGAAGATGCCTGCATGTTTCAGGCTCCTGAGAAGGAGACAGACATTCCTTCCTTTCTGTGGCTGTGGAAGGAATGAGGAGACCTGTCTCCCCAAGCAGGGCCTGGCCATCCATCGGCTAGAACATATTGCCTTGACCCTTTCCCCTTCTGAGCAATTGGAGAGGTAGCATCCCCACGGAACACCATCTAATAAGACGGACAGGCTGCTAGGTGCTTTCACATCAGTGCACATTCCACTGAACCTTTACTGTCAGCTGGTAAGGAAGAAGGTATCATACCCCTTGTATGGTAACAAGGAACCAGGCTCGGAATACGTTTGTGTGAATTAGTAGCTAACTCATACTCCACGGTCAGCAGCCTCTGCTTCTCTGCCACGTGCAGCTCCCCGCCCCCACCTCCACGTAACCTCCTTCCCAGCTAGGGAGGCTGGACTGGCTGTGGAAGCCCAGTGACTCTGGGTTCTAGTCCTGCATGCGAGCTGCCGGTGCCGTGGGCCTGACCGGGGTGGGCCTTCTCAGGAGGTGGGAGGACTGGCTCCCCCAAGAACATCATGGCAAACCCATGCCAGGGCCACCTTCTTTGTGTTCCCTCCAGTTAACTGACCCTGCAGACAAAGTAATTGTCTGCCTTCCAATCTGATAGATTCCAAAAAGTATGCATTGAAAGGAGTGCCTATTCTCCCAATTGAGCAAAGATTTCTAAACCTCTTAAAAGGAAAGTTTAAGCCAGTTCAGCCAAAGCCCAAACTGATCACTCCCATGGCTTCCAGAGGCCCAGGAGCCAGACTACTCCTGTCTGGCTACAGCCCCAGGAGCGGCTCCTGGAATGTGGTCACTTGCTTCTCTGTGCACATGGAGAGTTCTAGCTTTACAAGCACGAGCCTGACCATTTAGTGCCAGTCTCACACTGGGCTGGAAAAGCTGCCCAGCCAGCAAATGCCTTCTCAGCACCCTCGGCTCTGAGTACCCTAGAAACCCCTTCTGCCCGCTGAGCTTGGAAGTCACACACGATTCCCTTCAATTCAGCCATTGCCTCTCAAACACCTCCAGCAGCTGTTTGCATGTTCCCCAGACACCTCCAACCACAGGCCTCCAGTCTAAACATACATGCCTCGTCAAACTCCTCCTCCTTCCACATCTCCCACCTCAGTGAATGCACCGCTATCCATCCAGAAGCCTGGGTCCCCTCCCCTCAGAGCTTCCCCTCTGCCTCTGGACACCTGTCTTCTCCATCGCCTCAACCACAGCTTTGGTTTGGCTGGGTGATCACTCGGATGCTCTATATAGCCTCCTGACTGGCCTGCAGACTCACTTCCACGTGGCCTTGTGGGTCCACAAGAAGCATGCACAAGTGGTCTTGCCACTGCCCCTAAAGGTACCATCTTCATCCTCAGCCTGGTACCTGAGGCCCTTCATGATCCCTTTTGTAAACCCTCCCGGCCCCCCTGGGAGGAGTTGGTTACTCCTGTCTTTGTGCCACCCCGGAACTTGACACATACATGGTATCTCACACAGTCTCGTCACTATTCCCTTAATGCCCATCTTCCCCTGGGAGAATATGAGCCTCCAGGAAGGCCACCGCAGGGCCTGGCACTGAACTTGAAGTCAGTAAACATCTTGGAGTTTTTTATTGATGTGGATTTTTAAATTGATTACTATTTGATTGATTATTCTTTAAGTGCTTGTTGTGTGTCCAGCCAGTTATTTGGTTTTATTTCAGTTGCTTTGCTTATAATTCACTTCATTTGAAGAGGAAAAATGAAATTGAATGAATATTTCATTAGTAATCAAAAACTATTTTCAAACAATTTTCCACAAATAAGGGTTTTGTTTCCAAGTAGAAACAACTTTGTATTATAGAATTTAGATCCTGTCTTGTTTTATTTTGTATTTTTATGAGCTCCTATGGTCTAGTCATATATACCACAGAAAAGGAGGGGCGGGCACAGAGGTAGAAGAGACACCCTCATGCTCCCAGGGTGGGTCAACCTTGGAGGGGAGGAGAGCCGCTGAGGACAGAGCGGTTAAGGGAAGGAAAGG